ATAGAACTATTTTTCTGCCCTGGTGGATGTGATCAGATTACAAGTATGATAAACAACTATCTGCCAAAGAATACAAATTAGAGACAACAAGAAGTCAAAAGATTGAGAAAAAGACTGGCAAAATTTAGGAAAATACTTTAAATTAGATGGGAAAATCACAAAAATTACTAACTTAGCACCACTTTGAAAGCCTTGGTAAGTTCCAAATCAAACAAACTATATAATCAAAATAGTATTTTTTTTTCAAATGAAAAGCAGATTCACTATTATGTAGTTTCTGAAATTCTCTTGACACCCTTGGGTATTTTAAGAATATATTACTTGTTCAGAAAAGGTAGATGCGAAAACAGCTTTCTCTCATCTAAACACTCTAAATTAAAGTGAGATACACAAATTTGTTGAACTAATTCTGGTGAGGACTAGGAGCCAGTTTAGAAAAAAACCCCAGACCTGTCTGGCACAGCATGTTGGTAGCAAATGTATCAACAAGGAATTTACTCCCCAATGGTCAGATTTGCTCAAATCTGAACAGAGACTAGACTAACACAAACAATTAGGAGAAAGTGACCAGGATCAGTTGCTTCTCTTAAGCCCAAATATCAGCCAAAAAAAGGTTTCTGACAGAATATAATGTATGTGCACCATGGAAACTGTCAGGTGTTAAGTCAGTCAAACTGGGGAAAATATATCTAGCTTCTACAAAATTCTTCTGTATGCCAGCTGTTAGCTAAATCTTTACAGAAAACTATGTTTATTAAGATTAGCAGAGTCAGTCACCTGGGTTATCTCAGGCAAGAGAGACACATCAGTAATTCAGGAAGCCAACACACAGCTCCTGTTTTTGCCAACATCTACCCTGGTAATGAGGATGTACCAGTATTTTTAAAAGACTTGCTATCGGTAAGGTGTAATAGTATTTTCTAACACCAGAAAACTCCAGCAGAGGAAATCCAGGGGAAACCTCAGACTACCAGCCAGTCCTCCAGAAATACAGGGCATGTTAAGACAAAGCCATGATTCAGACTCCAACACAGCACCAGTGCATGCAGAGCAGCTGCAGGTCCTTCCAAGAGCTCCTGCTTTTAAGCTCCTGCCCCAGTGGCCCACAAATGACAAATCAGATACCCACCCATTTCATGGTACAAAAGAGCAACTAGAAAGATACCTGAAACAATAGAAAAAAAGGAGCTTAAAAAAGGCAATGAGGCCAGTCACCACAAAGTCACTGAAGAATATCATCACCTTGGGCAGCCCTCGTTTCATAAAGAAAAACCACATCCCCTTGGCCAGATGCTATGCATGAGCAAAACCTCAGGAGCCATCAGGCATGGTCTGAGAAGTGCCTGGCCACTCCAGGTACACCAGGATCAATGACAGCTTCCCAACTGCCACATGGCAAGCCAAAGTGAGATGGGGACAGCATCAGGAAAAACCTCAAGGATATGTAACAGTGGGCAAAAGAGCAGCTCTACCTCTCTCCCAACACCATGATCTCTGAAGGCACAGAGGGCAAAATCTCTCCTGCCCTGCCTCCCCACAGCTTGTTGAGGGACTCCTGCAGCCCTGTTCTCTTCCCAGCCAGAAGGGGCAATCACAGCCTGGCTGGCCCCAACAATTCCCTCCACCCATGGCAGGTGGGCCACAAGACTGTCCCAAGCTTATGAAGCCATCCTTTCAACTTGAGTCAGCTGGAACATGACATGACCTTCCAGGAGGAGGTAAGAGGGGGGACTAAAAAGAAAGCCTCTTGTTTTACATTATCAAATCAAAGTTTGTTTCTATATTAAAAATTAAAAACAAACCAATACATTTTAATGACATTTTAAAGTTATTGTAGCTTGAACTATTTCTTTTAAAAAATCTGTTACTAATTTAATCTGCATAAGACTCAAGGGTGTACATTCTCAAAGTATCAACAGAGCAAGTATGAAAATGGAATATTCTTAAACATTCTTGCTCATCTCAGAAGCAGCATTGCAAAACAATTCTGAAGACTTCTCCTTTTGTTACCTTTTTTAAGAAAGTTATTAGAGGCAGACCATAAATACATGTGTGTATGTGTATGTATATATAGAAATATACACACACTCACTCACGCACTGCAGTGACAAACTGAGTGCTGTGCTCAACACACCTGAGGGACAGGATACCTTCCAGAGGGACCTGGACAAGCTCCAGGAGGAGGCCCATGGAAATCTCCTGAGGTTTAACACAGCCAGGTGCTGGTGCTGCACCTGGGTCAGGGTAAGCCCCAGTACCAGCAAGGCTGGGGATGGACAGAGCCAGAGCAGCCCTGCCCAGAAGGACTTGGGGGTGCTGCTGGCTCAGAGGCTGGACATGAGCCAGCCATGGGCACTCCCAGCCCAGAGAGCCACACGTGTCCTGGGCTGCATCCAGAGCAGCGTGGGCAGCAGGGCCAGGGAGGGGATTCTGCCCCTCTGCTCTGCTGAGAGCCCACCTGCAGGGCTGCATCAGCTCTGGGCTGCCAGCACAGGAAGGACATGGAGTGACTCCAGAGGAGGCCACAAGATGATGAGAGGAATGGAGCATGTCTCAGTGTTGGGACCAGCCAACCTGGAGAAGAGAAGGCTTCGGCCTAACCTAATGATGGCCTTCCAGTAGCTGAAGGGAGCCTGTAAGAAAGCCAGAGAGGGACTTTTTACAGGAGCATGTGGTGACAGGACAAGCAGAAACTGCTTCAAACTTTAAGAGAACAGGTTAAAAAAATTCTTTACTGTGAGGGTGGTGAGTGACAGGCACATAAGTTGTCCAAAGAAGCTGTGGATGCCTCAGCCCTGGAAGTGTTCAAAGCCAGGTTGGATGGGGCAATAAAAACTTGTTTAGTGGAAGCTGCCCCTTGTCCATGGTGGGGGTACAGGCTTGAACTAGATGATTTTCAATGTCCCTTGCATCCCAGGCCTTTTGATGAGTCTATGAAACCGAACAGAACAAAAATGCAAGGAGTCAGCACTGTGTGAGCAAGGGGCTTTCCACTGATGTGAGACGGGAAGTGCAGGAGCAGAGTGAAATCAGTTTCAAAGTATATTAAAGCACATAATAATAAGAGCATGCCTGGCCAGAGTGTGCTATCAGTTTCAAAATAAATTAGCATACAATATGTGAAATGGATGGCCACTGATAGTGTAACTTCAAGCCCAGTTTTTGCACTTGGAAAACCTACCAATTTTCTCCTGGCAAATAAATTTGTCCTTAGTATTTCTAAATTAGGGAAGGTTCTTAACCAGGGCTTGTTACATTCTTTTTCATGCATATTCACTATTTATGTGGATGGCATACTACTGTTTATGCTACAGTGGACTACAGTCACCGCTGATCTGCTTAAAACAGCTCCCACAATAAAAAGCAAGACAGAGACTACATCTGTTAACACAGACTTATCACTCACAGCCTAAATGCTACAGGTAATATTAAGCACATGCAGATATCTTTCCATTCAGGTTCTGAGCACCAGTCCTTTGGGTCTCACAAAAGAGAAGTAAATCCTTTCATAAGCTGAGGTGTTTTTGCTAAATGAAACCATTTCTTCCAGCACTACCATTTTCCCCATCATCAGTACTACAGCTCTTTCATTCTAAAAAGCTCAAAAACAAATAAAGACTTCAGCATGCTATACCCCATAACAAATAAAATAAGACGTATTAGAAATTATTGGTAATATTCAATAACTGATGCCTCACTACAGCACTTGATCCACTATGCATTAGTGAACTGAGATGATCATTAAGATTTCAATTAAGGAAAATAAGCAAATATTTTGGTTTTTATCATTTCAATTTTAATACAATTAAAAAAAGGTAAATGTTATGCATGGTAATGTTTATTAAACAATCACATTTTATTTAAGCATTAAAATGCAGCAGTCTGGAAAAGCTGCCAGAAACAATGTTTGGCTTCAGAAAAGGCGATTATTAAATTACTTCCAATAAAATTCAAATACTCTCTTGTCTGTTGATTAGTTGAATGCTTTAGACTGGAAAGAACAAAAAGTGCAAATCAGCTCAATGTTACTTTCAAAAGTAAAGTCTTAGTGTCCTACAAGCAATTACTGGAAGGCCTCACCTCAATCTTCATGATAAAGGACAAAATTCTCCAATTCCTACACAATTATAATTTACTGTAACATTTCAAGCAATGCAACATTATTACTAAAACAAAATTAATTCCAAAATATAACTGCCTATCATGAGCACCTCTTTACTTTTTTTTTTTTTTTTTTTTTTTTTGTTTGGTTTTTTTTAGTTCTAATTTGCTTGACATGAGATGGCATGAAATACATTCTTACTGCAAAACTGGAAACTTACATGGAACAATGCAGTTAAGCCACTTATAGGAACATGTTCTAGCTTTAGTTAATTTATACCTAAACATACTACTTTACATGAAAATATTCATATTGTGGTATGCTATTTCTGCTGATATACTTTGAGCAAAGTGACTCATCACAGAATAGGTAAATGTTGACCTTCAGTTTAGTTTTTTGTTCATCAACTTTACAGGAGGACTTGGAAAGAAATGGACAGAGCTAAGATATATGGGCAAATTTTAGACATTTAGAAATTAGTTGGTTCTTTTTTTGTTTTTTAAATTCAGCACAACTGTTCATTGGCAATTTGAAATAAAAACAGAGTGTACCTTTCTGGCTCCTAAATCACTTCAGAATCATTTCATTTGCAAAGATAATGAAAAAACACTGAGATTATAATCTTAGAAGGGCTGTAAGAATACACCAGCAATTTTCGATTTGTTCTTGTAAAAATTTTTTAAAACATTGTGGAAACATGTTCTTATATGTGGGTACTGCTGCTTGAAAATGAACAGTTGCTCAACATCCAGACAACTATTACAATCTTGCAAAAGCAAAGCAGCTTATAAGCGTAATAAACAAATGGTCATTTTGCTAAAATTGAGACCTAATTTAGTAATCTGTAGAATGACTCTTTCAAACTGTGCAACACAAAATAATGTAGCCAACAGTAACATACAGGTACACCATTTAATATTTATTATATGCATTTTATATACATTATTTTTCAACAGCTGTACTTTTGCTATGTGGTACAATCTTAAAAATTTGCTGATTCATAGTTTGTAAAACAGAAACCTTACAAAACTCATCAAAACTCGCAAACTGATCAGAAAAGTTTTGTGGAAGACTAGAAAAAATACTTTTTTGTATTAATCATGCATTACACAAACAAAGTTTTTAGTTACACCATAAACTGAAGCACATCTGAAAAATAAAATAAAAGCAGGGAGTAACTAGTCAAAACACAGCAGATTTATGAATCTTGAATTAACTACTTTTGTATTCTATTTGAAATGCAAATAAAAATAATTTTCACTCCAAAGGTTCTGAAACAAGATTGGTTTTTTTGGAATCAACTCCACTCCAGGTACTTAACCAGAGGAAAAAGAATTTCTTGGTTTGCAACTTTAGAATTACCAAATGTCCCATTTTCTCATCTATTTTAGACTGTTCAAAGAGTGCCATAACAGATATACAGGGCCCTTTAACACACTACATAAAAGGATATAAAGACCAACAAAAAGTGAAATAAATAACAATAGGCCATTAGCAAGATGGGTAATCCTTGATAAATAAACTCGTAAATACAGTAAGATGTACAAAATATCACATAGTGATAGGATGCCAAGATTAATTTTTTTAAGAGTTCATTCGGGGGTGTTAACCCCTCTGTGTTTCATTTGAACACATTTTACAGTCCTTTATTTATGAAGACAGTTATGCGATGATGATGAATTAGCATCCTTAAGCAAGGACTTAGCTGAGCTGTATTAGGCAAAAGAAGGGAAGATTGTGGTTACACGGCAGCGGGTCAGTGAGATCTCTGTGTTTTAGGGTTCTATAATGCAGAAAAACATTATCAATACAATCTTGAGCACTGTTGTGACAGGCTAAATATATAAAAAGACTTATAAAAACTAGAATTTTATCCAAACATTTTGTGCAACTAATGCTAGAATATTTTAAGTTAAATTTCCTTTTCTTTAAAGCAAAATAAAAGTTGGAAAGGGGAATCTGTGGCATTCAACTGATAAACAGAAGATTACTAAGAGATGAAAAGAAAGCTACTCTTGGAGCTCACTTCCCCCCACAAGAGCACCACATTCCTAACCCTAAGGCAGCACACAGAGTCCAAAATAAAAGTCTTTTGTAAGATCAGACTCCACGTTTGCTTAAAGACACCTAAAGAACAGACATACGCTCAGTTCATATCCAGTCAAGGCTACAAATACTGGTTTTCTTTTTTGTATTTGTCCCCACCCCCCCAAATACAGTAATTACAGTTAAATGAATGAGCCTGACATTGTTCAGGATGTGGTGACTTTTCACCAGCTTCTACCTGCCCCACGTAAGAGCCTTCACCCAGGCAGATCAGATGTAGTGTCTTATTGGTAACCTTATAATTGATGGCAGTGACGCATTCCCTCTTTTTTGTCCAAACAGACCTGCTGTTACGATGCAGGTTTGTTCTGCTATGTCACACAAATACTTTGGCAAGGGCATCAGCTCCTGCACTGGCAATATATGCTTTTGATGGATGAAATGCTACATCATAAATGGATTCATCCAGCTTTTTCCTATGAGCTGTTATTTCTTGCACACACGTCTTGCTGTCCAAATTCCACAACCTAATGGAACAATCATGGCCTGTTTAGGAAAGAAAGAAAGGAAATTCAGTGCATCATAAATGCATAATTTATATAGAACATATAGAATATGAAAAAAACCCCCTTACTTCCAGACATTAAATAGATTCCATTAGGATCTACAGCTAGACTTGTGACAGCATCCAAGTGAGCAACCATAGAATGGATCATTTTACCTAAAAGAAAAATAAACAGTGAATTTCCTGTGAAGTACTGTTTATTTAAAAATCAACCCATTCCCCTTTAACAAAATATAAGACAAGATGCTTATTTAGATTCCAGTAATATTTGAATGGTCCTCTTCCATTAGAAATTATGAAGTTTTGACTGCAGACTCTTGTATAAACGTAAGGGCAAATGACACACAACTCTCAAAAAGATATTCCCATTGTAAACAATCCTTATCCACTTGGCATCTTTATTGGCAGCAACAACAATGAAGACCTAAAATGACTACATGAGAACCTTTGTCTCTTAAATGTCCTAATAACTGCCCCAGTAGGAGAGTGTTGATGAAGTTTTGTAAAATGAGACTTACTGAGCCATACCAATGCTCCATCTATCTCTGTCATGGCTAAGAGAGAAAAATAAGGCAACTACAGATGATACTTGCCCAAAATACTCTCCAGCTTCTCACAATTAACTGTTCGGTTCTGTCACAAACCAGAACAGTTAATTCTGCATTCAAGTACTCTTAATGCAAGTACTCTTTTTAAATTTCTTTACGTTGACCTCTGTTCCTGGACTCCTAATAACATGTTTTAGCACCTCATGATGCTTTTTGGAAGGAGCTCCAGAATGTTTAACTGCACAGAAGAATCAGTGCCTGTCGCCTGTTTTGAGTCTGTCACGTGTTGGGGATCAGCAACTGAACCTCAGTTCATGTGTTGAGTGCAAATAAATCCCTGTAAGACCACGATCAACATGAAGAAGGTAAATCAGCTTTGTTCAGTTGCTCCTCTTCCTGAAGAATCTCAACCTATTCAGTTTCTAAGATTCTTCCTAAAAAACCTACTGAAGATCATTGATCCTCTAACCATTCTCTGAAACATATTAATTTGGCTATATCCCCTTTGAAGTAAGGGAGACTTCATTCAAAGTATTCATACAAAGGTATTAAAAATGTTCCCTTTTGCCTTTTATTCCTTTCCCTCCTAACAGGCATTTTGCTATTCTGACTGCTAAGCAACAAACCAGTATTTTTATCTAACCTCTTACTATAACACCAAGGTTTTTACTTTGAATAAGAACAGTTACCCCAGTGATTATTATTTTATATTACAATGTTTATTTTTCCTTACATGCATCCTTTCAAATTTATCCACATGCAATTTAATTGCCTTTTATGTCTTTTAAGATCTCCAGTTCTTCCTTGTCAGCCTTCATGCTTAATAACCTGAATTAATGAATGTCAGTTAACTCCCAATATACTGTTACCTATTCATATGGCTCACTATGTTGAAATATTGCTGATCCCTCCAGACCGGCAGAGATTTTATTCCACAAAAAGACCATTTACTTCTACCCTCTGTTTCCTGTCTTTGACCTAATTATTTCTTCATGCAGATTTTTTTTCCTTATTCTTTGTTTCTTTGAAGTAAAAACCTTAATTTCAGCAACATCAGTGTAATGCATTTAATGACTACAATTCAAATACATACGTTAATGGCATGTGCAAAGTGGAAAAAATGTCCAGTGTTTTTGCTTTAGAAGACAAAAACCCCAGGAACCTACTGGGGTTCATCATCCCCTACTGGGACCAAACCAAACACACTTCAAACAGGTGTTTTGTACGTGCTTCCTTAAAGTGAGCTTGATTTTTTTTCCTTCCAACTTTGATAGGTAACATGTAGGAAGTAACAGGTAATTTCACAAATAGGAAGTTTAAGTTTGCTTTTGCAATTATTTTAATGTTTTTGTCATGACAGACAGTGCAGCTTTCTCCTGTAGCCTTCCTTACCCTCTTTCTTCCAGATCCATTTCTGTTTTATAAACCTTATCAACAACTTAAGTATAACACAGGACTTCATTACCACAATGAATTTAGGGTTATATCTTGCCCTAATAGGTACTAAGTGATCTTTTTTACTACTAAGAGTTGAAAAACATAACTGACACATGCTCAAAAGCATGGAAATGAGAGCAGACATACTCTATAAATCAGGAAAGCTCTAAATTAAAGACCACTTTCTTGTCCCTCACAACTATCTCTGCCTGTTCTGAGAGTGTTTTCTGACTTCTGAAGTCACAATTGCAACAGGCAGCACTATTTCACAGAGAAGGTACTGCCAAGGTTTAATCTTAGAAATACCCAAAGTTCTGCTTTATGTAAGACTAAATCAGCAGTAAGTTTTTTACAAATGGATTCTCCCTATGTCATCCAGATTTCTTTAAACATATTCATACATAAAAATTAGGTTCTCTTTATCCTTACCCGTTTTGTTGTCAAAAAATTTGATGTGTCTATCTTCATGTGCTGTAATAGTTACAGGAAGTGTGGGATGACTTACTACCTTGTTAATATGATTATTTGATTGTACACCTGGAAATAAAATAAAAGAATATTTATCTGCCTTAAAGAAAATGATAAGGTTAAAATGACAGCATTTTAGCATTACACTTTAGATTACCATATTATTTAACATTATGTAAGTAGTATCTTAGGACCAGTGGATCTCCTAAGAAATACAGCTTCTTGCTTCACAGGATGGGGCAAAGTGAGGAAGACTCTAGCCAAAGCACTGTAAGGTTAAAGCTCACAAGTAGTTTACATCCATGAATGATTTTTGAGAGACAAAACTCAGCAAGTACTGTAATGTAGCACCAGCCAAGTAGAAACAAACTTCAGCTTGAGTAATGTATGTGGTTTAGCACACAGCTCTTACACCTCTGCATCAAAAAATATTTGGGGGGGGGGGGGGGGGGCAGGGAAGAGAGAAGCACAGAGTGGTTTGGGTTCGAAGGGACACCTACTAGACCAGAGAATCCAAGGTATCCCAAGTAACTGAAGTCAACCCAACCCTCTTAGGTTCTGTCAGATATATTTGTGACTTCAACTTAAAACAATGAATGGTTTAGAATCTCTTTAGAAATCTACAGGGTACTCTTTTTTAAGAACTATCTTGGTATCTTAATTTCTGTGCTTAATTTTTCTTGAATCTGTTTAAAAGTCTCTCTTCAAACTAGCAAAGGTATTTCTCCAAATTATGATGTTCCTTCTCAATTGAACATCAGGCCTTGCAGAAGGTATCTATAAGACAGCTTTTACACAGTTCTGTAACCTCTGTTGAAGCCTGTAAGTTTAATTATTAAAGTAAACTACTCTACTTAGAGGGGAGAAGCAGATTCTCTCCTTGCACTATCCTTTTAGATCACAATTTATAGAAAGGAATAAGCAGAAACTGGAGGTTTTCCTTATGAAATGCTTTAGGAGCTTCACAAAAAGACGTCTCCTCCATATAGCTTCATCAAATAAATGCAATTAATTGTTTATGAGCTACCTCTCTTTAACACTTTATTTGCAGCAACAGGATTTCTACAAAGTTCCACCAGAAACTGTGTTTCATCCCAACCTGTGCAGAACTCTACACTGAATTACATATTCTGTTTAATTCACCTATTATTCACCTACTTGTCTTAATATCCTACCATGTCATGCTTATATAATGAAAACTGTGGTTTAATATACAAATCAGAAAACGGAATCTTAAGAAATCTTAAGGGAACAGTAACTGTTGCTTTCACTACCTCTAACTACTTTAAAACCTGATAACAGAATCATAAAATGGCTTGGGTGGAAAGGACATTTTAACATCATCTAGTTCCAATCCCTCCTGCCAAAGGTAGGGCCACCATCCACTAAACCAGGTTGTTTTAAGCCACATTCAACCTAGCCTAGAACATTTCCCAGGGATGGAGCATCCCAAATTTCTCTGAGCAACCTGTGCCAGTGTCTCACCACTCTCACAGTAAACAACTTCTTCCTAATATCTAATCAAACCTACTCTCTTTCAGTTTGACGCCACTCCCCCTTGTCTTGTCACTACACACCCTTGTACAAACAAGCTCCTCTCCAAGTCTCTTGTAGGCTCCTTTAGGTACTGGAAGATCATAATAATATCTGCCAAGAAGCTTCTCCAGACTGAACAATCCCAACCCTTTCAGCCTGTCTTCACAGGAGAGGTGCTCCAGCTCTGGGATCATCTTCACAACCTTGCTCTGGACTCAGCCCAACAGGTCTATGTCCTTCTTATGCTGGGGCCCCAGAGATGGACCAGTGCTCCAGGCAGGGTTTCACAAGAGCAGAACATCTTTCCACAGTGTTTGTTCCAAGCATCTAGCCATCTTTCAAACTGAATGATGCGGTAGAGGAGTGAAACTGTTTTATTTACTGCAGCATACAATGAGGTACCATAATAATGCAACAGGTACCCCATTCATGATGGGTATTTACTACAGAAGAGCTCCACTTACCAGATTCTACTTGTGATGAAAACATTACCACTGACTGGGATGTTTCTAAATCATAGATGACTGTGCTGCCAGTGTTAAAAGATGCCACCATATGAGCAGGGTCACAACCTATAAAGTCGACTGATGTGGGTATTCCATGCTCTAGAGAGAGCAAAAAAAATATTTTAGAAATAACAGAACACTTTAAAAATTCCTGACAGTTTAAACATTTAAGATCATACTTAAAGAAGATATTTGATCTTTTCTTTAGAGTAATGTTACAGAACCATGATTATTTGATTACAAATTATTCTTTTAGCTATGTTACCTAGTTTGGATATATGGAGATAATGAGCCTGGATGCATCATCAGCTGCCTCATAACAGACTTTCAAAACCACTGCAAAAAGTTACCTTTCTCTCCATTGTAAGTGCAAATACAGGGATTTTTTTCCGGTGGGTTCCATAACCTAATAGTGCCATCTGCTGAACAAGAGAGTAAGTGATTCTTTACACCACTGTAAGCAAGACCCCAGACTGCATCTGTGTGAGCAATTAATGTGCCAGCTAGAACGTTTGGCTCTGGAAAAAAGAGTTCAGAAAGGAAACCATTTTAGTGAAGAAGCATTAATTATTTCTTGTACCTCAAAATAAATTAAATTCCACATAAACCAGCTGTATGTTCCCCCTGCCCTTCCTGTTTAAGCAACAATTAGAATACTGCACAAGTCATTCTGTGCAACCACTGCCATCTTTCTCCAAAAAACCAACTAACCAACCAACCAGGAAAACAAACAAAATCAAACTAAAAAACCCTACCAAACCAAACCAGCCAACCAAAAAAGCCCCACAAACAACTATGTCCCTTTTCCAGAATGATACATTCTTGTTACCACCTCCTCTCTTATTTCTTCCTTTCAAATTCAACACCTTAAAGATGCTTGATCACAGCCCTTCCTTCATACAGGTGCAGAAAATCATCTTGCCACTTTAACACTGGATGCTTACTTGATGCAGTTTTTTATTCAGCATACTCTGCTGACACATAGGTATGGTCTAAACCTCTCAAGCACACTAATAATAAAAACAGGACTAATTTTTTCTTGTGGAGCTGTGAATCTTATTTTCATCTCCCTGATACTTTACAGTTGCCTCTTATAGAGGGTTTTAAAATCTATGTAGAGTTCTCCAAGCAGTTATCAGCTATTTAATTTTAGAGACATCTAAAATTAAAGATATCTACATCTTTAAGAGAATCTAAGAGATGCCAAATCTTCTAAGAGAAATGTTAGGGACTTGAGATGCAAGTCAGAAACATGGGACATAGAATCTGAGCACACCTTTTTCTGGCAAATTTCCATCAGAAGAAATGAATAATCATTAAGAAATTGTATTTCTGGTTTAAAACATTTTGCTTCTCAAAAATATAAATTATGATTACTTTTTTCTTTACTGCATAAATCCTAGGAATTGTTAGGTCTCCCTATTACTCTTCTACACTAAGTACATCATCACTGCAAGCAGGAATAAAATAACTAATGTTTGCCACACATAAGTACTTGAAAACACACAGTGTAGCTGAAAAATGGCTGTAATATTTCACAAAAGCTCCAGAAAATAGATTAACATCAAGTAGAAAAATAACATTCAAGACTATGGTCAGAAGTTGTTTATCTTTTAAAAGGTACTTACCATAGGTATCATATGGATCCACACTAGGGCTAGGCATGTTCCACCACTGGATGGTTGCATCAATACCACCACTGAAACACTGTTCTCCATTGGAACTAATTGCCAGTGACAATACCGGTCCACTATTGAGAGACAGAAAAAAACTTATTGGTAACTGCCTACAGGACAGAATCTATTGTTATGAATGACGATATATTTATCAGCCACAAATAATGTCAAACACTCACATGTGAGCCCTAAATGTGTAGATGGGTTCTACATCTAAAGAGGCACTCCTGAAAGAAAAAGAAGAGTTAGTATACCACATGAAATCTCTACTGAAAAACTTGAAACTAAAAGAGTTTAATCAATTTCAAAGGCATATAAAACACAAATGAAAAACACAACTGATGTTTTATAAAAACCCAAATACTTGCTTTTTGGCAGGAACCGTTTTCTGCAAATTCCAGAGTTTTAGAGTATGATCCTCAGAGGCTGTAACCAGCACAGGCTCTACAGGATGAAAAGCTAATGCTCGCACTCCATCAAAATGACTGCGTAGCGTATACTTAGGGTTCCATGTCTTTCGGAAGGCATCTTTATTAGCTGGCAACTTGAAAGAGAAAAGGAAAGAAGTAATTTTATCTTGGATTTAAAAAAATGGATTTTATACATATCCCTATTTTTGGAAACATCCTATGTTTGATTCAGCTAATATATATTCAACCTTAAGTTTGTAGTTATCTACTGATTTATCCATATACATCTACAACCCTATCTGGCCAGCTAGCCAGTCTGCAAATTTTTCTGTTGTAACAGTTTCCTTTGACCCAGGCTGGAATGATACATAATGTTAAACACACAGAAAAGAAGACCTGATTTTCAGAACAGATTTTAATCCTTTTGTACAATGACACTAACTCTTCTTCCTTGCAGAAAGAGAAATGTTTCATTGTGTATCATGTCATCTGCACCCAAGGAAGAGATTATAGCCATCAAAAGCTCATTTACCACTTAAACACAATAAAAATGAGCTTGAGATGCTTGGTGAGTGATCTTCCTTAGATGAGTAACTTGACGAAGGTTGACTAGAAACATACATAGTTCTTGAATACTTCTACAAGTGAAGTCATGTACATAGAAACAGCTAATCCAAATTTCAATAGACATTTGTCATGATTTTAAACATAACATTACACAAATATTTTTTAAGTCATTAATGAGTTTCAAATGTATCTGTGAGACAATAACTTAGCTGCTTTGTGAAGCAATATATGCAAACTCTACATTTATATCCTGTGAACATCCAATTAATACTCTTTACTTGCAGACTGTTAGGCTAAAATACAATAATTACAGCTGCTTTATATTAATTATAGGTAACCCAGAAGAGTTACCAGAAAAATTCAAGCCCTTCTCGAGATTCCAAGAGACTAATTTATAGCTTTGAGTACAATTAATATTTATGCATCAAACAGACCCTTAAAAGACTACATCCCATCCTAAACCTCCATCATGAAAAAATAACATATCCAGGTACTTCTCTTTTCCCCTAAAGGTAGTTTAGAAAACTGACTTGAATTAGATGAACAAAATAAGCGAACTAAGAATGAATGGAAACTAATCGTATCCTTTGTCTTACACAAATGGAAGCTAATTGTATCCTTCATCTTACACACTATCTATTTTAGCATGCAATTGTTAAAATATGGTTCTCAACTGCAGGCCAGAATAGCTTGACATCTCAAACTAATTTCAGCAACACTAATATGAAATTAAAATCTTGCAAATCTTATTACCTTTTATCTGTCAGGATTGAAAATACTCAGATAATAGTGTAACGTGTACTGTAATAACTATTTTTGGACCAAGTCTATAATCTGGATTGAATTATCACTACTCAAACCAAATTCAAATCCAACCAACAAAACAAAGAGGTTCAGACAGTAAAATTTACTGTTCTGAGTTACAGATATGCAGATTTGCTTTTTCATTATATTACAGTAAATTTCTGTCCTAAGTGCAAACTTTACCTAATTCCAATCAAGTCACAGAAACTTGTTATACCAGACATGTAACCCGAATTTTTAGGTTTTGTTAAATACCAACAAAGAAATACACATAATAACAAAACATTTTGCTTGCAATCTTCCTACTTCAGAGTACACTGAATACTGCAATATTTTTACTGAGATTTATGTTATTTAGCACTGCATATTATATACAAGCTTTATAAAAAGAATAATCTTTTGTTTTAGGAAACAGAACAGAGTGGAATTCTGGAGTTCTGCATTAAACATAATTTGGACCAAACAACTGATTTATTTCCCTCCCTAAGTGGACAAGAGAAGGGGAGAAAAGAAAAGGAAAAAAAAAAAAAAAGGTATTTTCCTAGCAAATAGGGTCCCTTGATATTTTAAATACTCATTATGGAACGTATTCACCCACCTAGCTAGCTTATGTTCCCTCATGTATTTGTGGTGATCTGGGGCTTAGAGAAATTAAAGCAAAAAACTTGAAATAGCAATGCTTAATTTTAGAACATGATATATCCCAGATTATGCAGAAGACTTGCAATTTTTTGGGTGCAATATGCACCCACACAACAATATCTACCACAGTTGTGATGAAAAGTCATTTGAAAAAATCAGAACTGGATACAGTGATCCTTATTTTTCAAAACATGAAAAGAGTTGATTCTATATTTTTTTTTCTTTTTTTCTTAAAAGGATTGTTGCATGGGTAATTTTGGTTTTGGCAGTACAGAGAAATCTGCTAAAATGCAAGGTACAGAATTTACACAGTTATGAGAAGTAAGGTACATCTCCTATTTTAAGCATAGCTTTGAAGTTTTAATTTTTTTTAAATGGACTGGAACATTATGGTTCTTTTAGAAGACACCACATACACTTTATTAGAAATCTAGTTATACATAAACCAATTTTTAAAAATTCTTTTCTCTATCCATGTTTCTAATGGATCTTGATATCCTTACTGCAAGAGTAAGAGAACAACTGATACATCTTGCAATCTCTAAGAAAAAAAGTTAACCAGTAATGTATTTCCAAAAAACAAATAACCAAAAAACCCAACCCCCACCTCAGAAAAACACAGTCAAGGACTTGGAAAAGGGCTTTGATGATTACAAAGGACAAATGTGAGATTATTTCACAAAATGGGCCAGAGGAATAATGGAAAATTAGTGAAATGGGACAGTATATATGAATGTTTAAAAGTGTGACATCTCCAACGCTTCTCAAAACATAAGGTGTAGATGGACACACTGCCCCACTGAATCTGGATGCTCTGCTGTGTGTATTTATACACACACACAGAGTCAAGATAATCAAAGTCATGAGAACACACACGACTTCACTAGCTGCTCCTCCCTTTTTCCATGGACTTTAGCGGGCTTTACTAAAGACCAAGAAGGATCAAACAACCCATTCATTCTGCCTTGCAAATCACAGGCAAACTGGACTGAAACTACACCTGAGCTAAACCAACACAAACAAACAACTCCCTCGCACAACAAAAAAAAAAAAAAAAAAAAAAAAAAAAAAAAAAAAAAAAAAAAAAAAGCATCAGGGAATGAAGATCTTCCTTGCCTCTGCAGTCAAGGGAATCCTAACACATTGTAAGGAGACATTTCCCTATGTCAAAAAAGTACTCCCCAACAGCAAACAAAAATTTTAGAGAACAATAATTAATTGCAGTCAGTGTCTTTTTATGTTTTAATGTTACTTTTTTCTTGATAATGATGTAACTTATTTGAACTTTCCAAGTTTACATAAAGGAAAGCTTTCCATTTTTTAGTCAGTCATACTGACTAAAACACTATTCTCTGGTGCTATGGAATCAAAAAATATACAAATGGGGGCATTTGATTTGGCAACATTATTCCCTCAGCATACAAACAACTACATGCACTGAGGTCAATTTAAGTAACTAGATAATAAAAAAGACATGACTTGAGATGACTACTGTTTACTAGATAACTAGTCTTGGAAACAACCTGTGAATTTAATCAAATACACAGAAATCTTCTGAGCTATAGTTGAAATTCTTAAGGTTTATACTTAACCACCATCCTGTATTCATATCCTCTCCTTTCCAAAACACACTCATCAAGGAGTGACACATGAAAGCTCATGGAAGCCTGTTGTGGCTTTATTTGTTAATGCACTCTAAAGGCTCACAAAAGCCATCTGAAGAGCATGGGCCTATTGGGAGCAAATGCAATAAGTGTTCTGGTTTGAGGTTTTTTCATTGTTCTTGTTTTACTTACACATTAACTTAGTGTCACACCTCCTTATCTGGAGACCTGGGAAAATGAGGTGACTCCACCTAATCTTACAAGGGCATTAGACTAAGATGCCCTACAAGTACTCTATTACAGGTACAAGGTAAAATATCGTCTTACTGTGGTGCAAATCCATAGCTATGAGGGAACAACTTCAGCAATTAAAAACTATCGGGAAATTTTTGCCTAAAGAAACACTGTGATGAAAAACTAACAGCATCTGAATTTTAGTCTCTTCAAAGTCATGACAGGACAGTGTCGTCTTAAATACAAAAAAAAATTGTTGCCATCTGTGTTATTTTACACTTTGTTTTTTCTGACACACAAAGTCAGAAGCCACTGTGCATTTTTCAGCTATGCATTAAAAGGAAGAAAATATCCTATGAGTACTGGGAAGAGATGACTGGACAAGAAGCAAGGAAAGCAAGTGACAATCATGGCCAACCACAACTCATTTTCAGTGAATGGCCTAGTAAGAAAAACTCTACTTCTATATTTTGTCTCCTGTATACACCAGGTATTAAAGCATGAAATAGCTTCTTCCTACTCACCTCCCAAACCAAACTGAAAATAAAGAGCCTCAGGGGTTTAAGGGTTTGAGTGAAAAAGTTTTTTGAAAATTCAACAACATGGAAAAAGTAAGACCAACGTCATCTACAGGATGATTAACACCTTCTAACCTTCAACAAATGTGTGCTTCTACTGCAAATTTCTTATTAGCTCAGGCAGCACTTCATATTTGTGTATTTATCAGCTATTCTCTGCTTTAAGTTTCCCAAGAGCAAAGGTAACCTCTATTCTGCATCACTCTTCACACCACAAGAACTGTTTTGTCAGGTTTGTCACAAGTAGCACAGATTCATGTAACAGTTCTGTTAGTTGGTATATTAATTTCAGTGCTTTCTGAACTTAGTCTGGCTTGCCACTAAATACACACTGTTTTATAAAGAATTTGTAGTTCACAAAAGACAGCAATATACTACAAAGCTGCAATCTGCAGTCAAGCCAATACAAGACCTTTTAAATACAATACTTTATGCAAAACTTACCTGAACACTTCCCTAACCAGCCATCCTATGTTACTAACCAATGAAAAATTTGTTTAACACTAATGGTAGAAGCTTAATGAATATGGTCAAAGGAATGTCAGAACACTCTGGATTATAATAAAAATATCCCCTAAAAGCTTACATCTGAAATATACTACTATATATACAGTCTATGCTGTTAACACTACTTACTCATCAAAAGGACAGCAAGTAAATGAGTTAATATCAATATTTGCGTTTCGTGCCATGCCTACTCACCACTCCATTTCAATATATAACTGTCATTTTGGTCATGTTAAGACATTAATATGTATTCTATGTGATAACACATTTCCCCTCCCAGTGACAAAATCTGAATTAAATTATTAATGTAGAAAAAAACCCAAGTCATCTCACTTAATTCTGGTAACCCAAATTACTTAGCTCATTTGCAAGGTGCTCTTCCATTCCAAGTAACAGCTTTTACTAAAGAAGTGCATCAGTAATGTTCAGGATTGAGGAGAGGGGACCCAACTACTATTGGTTAAACTGTATAAAGAATTTTAAAATAAAATTGCACTTACATCATAACTATAGTCTGCATCATTTGTTACTGTCAAGTCTGCAAGGTCTCCAAGGCCCAGTACACTTAACAACACATCATCAGAACCCATAATAAATGACTTGCCTCCTCCAGGTGGAAACGTTATTGGCTCAGCTACAAAGAACAAAACAGTTTCTTTAAGTCTCAACAGAGTAATTCAAACTGATGAAAAGCTGCATTATTCATCACTTAACAGCAAAGCAGAGTTTAAAACTGAACTTGTATACACTACATACAGCCCCAACTAAAAAAAAAAAACCAAACAGAGCATGAGGACATACACACATGTGCAAACACACACACACACATTATATACACAACTCTTGTACCATGCTTCATCATTTGATTTCAACTTACTTTACAGAGGTCTTGATACTGACAACTGACTTGATTAACATTACTTTACACTGCAATACCAAATGTACATCCCAGTTTTCCAAATTCTCAGCTGAGTTTTTCATTCAATACACCATGCTTCCTTCCTTCTATCCACTTGCAAATATGTCTTTGTGTTTTATACTAGTCAAATATTCCTACTTGTACACTGAATATTTTTTAATCACTCAAGCAAAAGACTCCTGCAAAACATCTCTTCCGCTTTGAGTTTCCTCAGAGAACTGAAAAAACGGAAACATCTATTATTTATTCATTTCCTCTCTTAGTTTCTCAGCATGATTTTGGATTCTAATTTTAAAGTATACTCAACTGACACTCATGTTGTCTAGATGTGCCTTCTTCAAATTAAATTTTAACATTTCTGTTAATTATCATTTAGAATGATAACTTCTCTAAGTTATATATAGCCATTCGCTTTGAATTCACATCTGAATAATAAAGTTAAAATATTCACCCATATTTTTTACCCTCCTCAACGATTCTGCAAATCTCCATTAACCCACAAAAACCGATTTTGCAATAAGGAATAGGAATGAAGGCTTAAGCTTCAGCACATTTTAGAAGCTACTTTTACTTTTCAGTTTTCTTTTCCACTTAGAAATAGCAACACTTGTTAAGTAGAGTATATGAAATGAAGGTCTGTGTGAACTTCAGCTAAGTATAAGCATCTGCAAAATATGTTAAATTATATCTGACATCTTGAAAAATTAAACTTGCTTGACTTTTGAATGTCACTGATCTGGCAGAGAGTTATGGCCTCCTTTTAATGCCACTCCTTACTTCTTATCCTCCTAGAAAACCCTTCAATCTCAGAAAAAACAGTTTCCAGTTTCCTGGGATATTTTCTTCTAGAAGCAGTTCCAAACAAGAGGACTAATAATTAACACATTCCTGTTTAGAACACACATCTCCATTATTCCGTATGGCCACTATCTGAATGGCAACCCAGTTCCGATCCACTCCCACGGAACGAAAGGGACTGAAACCAGGTGTAGTTACAGATGTCTGGCACTACTGCTAGGGCTAGGCAAAGAGGAGTCAGTCCAGACAGTTCAAAATACATCACTTCTCAAGAACAAAACAGGTTTTAATGCTTCAGAACTACTGTACTATTAAGAAATGTAACCTCAATAGCACAGTCAATACAACCATTTCTGAGAATCTAAGAACATAATCTAAGAATACAGACTGCTGTTCCTACAATTGCACAAAAAGAGGAAACATTATTCTAACTATGCACAATCACCTCTTGTAAAAAAAATTCACAATCCATACAAGTTTGACTCATAAGAATGCCACATTACATTAACAGCCCAAAATGGCTTACCATGTCCTTATATGAATAAGCTTTTTATTTCCATCAGTAATTTACTAAAACTCTACATCTGACGATCTACCACAAACCACTTACATTTCAAAAAATATGTATTCCTACAAAACACCTATTTACTTTCCTGTTACTCCTATTTGATCTTTAGGACAGGCCCACAAGGTTTAGGTAAGCCCCGTAACCTGTCATACTAACTGTTTGTGAAACTAACGTCACTAAGGGCCACCACATCAAGAACCTATACTACAAATTCATCATGTTTTGTTTGCATGAGTGACTATTTCTTTATTTAAAGCTTCAAAATTACTGCTACTCAAAATTCCGAAGACTACTTCTCAATACTAAAGCTGCCTGTATGTTTTTACACTGTGTTCTATAATTTATTTGTGACTTTTATATTTTTAAGTGAGGCGTATTTGAGAAGTTTAAAAAATGGTTGCAAACTACTTTTGCAAAAAAAGAAACAGCAGAATAGTAACACAATGAAAAATGCATGTTACAGCTACTAAAAATAAAGACCCGTATCTTCAGATATCAAAACAATGCATCAATAGATATATGCAAATGATAGTTAAATAAATGACTTTTTAATGCTTTTCATCTCGAAAAAAAAATACAAATATTTTTCTAACACATAGTACAGTATTATTCTTATAGCATAATAATATAGCATAATAAATGCTAACCGAGTTTGCAATCAAGAAATATAAAGTTAAAATGTAACAGTACAAGTTCCTTCGTAGGTGAAACTAGGTGAAATAAATATTGAAATAGAAAATTGTATAATTAAATATTTGCTTAGCCAATCTTAACAAGTACTTCTTACCTTCAAGTTCTTGACATCATACGTAATTAAATCAAAATCATAATTAAATCAAAATTAGTAATGCTTGTACAAACTGAAACTGCTTTAATCTCTGGTCAGATATGTACGCTCATATAGGCTGTTGTTGTCTAGTGTACAACAGGGACATCTTAACCTTGCTTCCCACAAAGTTAATATGCGGTACATCAAAAGCAGCTGTTCATACAAGCAATTAGCTGTTACTGATTTTTTTTTCCTGTCCATCTGTAGACTGACACCTCTGCAATCTATAGATATTAAAACTGAAAAACAACCAGTGAAGAAAGTAATTCTCTCTACACTGAATGGAAAATCATGCTGATACCATTTCTGAAATAATAGAACAAGCTGAAATGGAAACTCCAATTTCTCATGGCCAAAATTATCAAGTGTGATTATCGCATAATATCGTATTTAACCAGGCAGTTCAGGGTGAAAAACAAACTAACAAACAAAAAAAACCCAAAAAACAACACCCAAACCCAACCTCTCACACCTTTAAGAGGCATGAAAGAGATATTCCAAGCCAGTTAGTCAGTTCCACCCTGAACCCCCTTCAATAAAAAATTATCAACCACTACGTCAGAATTGTAACATTTCCAAGTGTGGCATAAAACTTCCATGCAGTCACAAGAAAACTATGGTTTGATAAAATTCCTCAGCATAGGCTAGTGTATCGCAGGAAGAAAGCCTGAAGTTGTCTGCAAAATCTTAGCTTTTAGAACACAGCTGAATAAATAATTGAGTAACATCTGTACTGCATGGTGCAGAATCTGTATTTTATGATAATGAAGTATTTGGCCTTGTAACACTTCTAGAAGGAACTGAAATACAACACTGCCTCTTAATTTGCAGATTTGCACCAAATGGTACAGATGAAAACTCAAAAAGCCACATAAGCATTCAGGATAGAAATAGCAGAACTTACACTCTAATATTCAAGTTTAAAAACTATACAGAAACCAAAATGAGCAGATAAGATGACAGAGATATTAATATTATTACTCTTAATAAAGAAAGAGCAAACTACACTGACGAGTTAAAACACACAGACATGTTAAACAGCATGAAAATCTAAACATGAAAGCAGTTTATCTGAACAGTGTGAACAATCTTTACTTGAAGGCTAACACAGTGCTTGTGCTACAAGAACCAGCCAATAAAAGGCAGTCCCTATCAAATTCAAATCTAGCATCTATTTCTTCAAAAATATTGTTTTGTCCAGTATTATTTTAGATGTAAGGTCTCTCCCTGAGACAACATCCCTGTCCGTAACAAGTTCTGTGTCTGTGCTCCTTTGCACAATATGTATGGCCTAAATACCTAAATATGGCTGAAAGACAACTAAAAACATGTAAACACTGAACCTAAAAACAACCTAAATATACGTCTACAAGTTTTAGAAAGTTTCATCTGTAGCTTTTTCAATTGCACTCCACAGGTAAACTTGATACTGCTTCCTCTTGAAAATGGAAATGAAAACAAAGATGAAAAGGAAGGCAGTAAGTAAGATGACTGCTGTAAAATGACAGTTTGGGAGAGCAACAAAAAACCTCCTTGAAATGTGGTTTGGGGTTGTTTTCTGCTTGCCTGTTGACAGGCATTTGTGTGGCCAAGGGTGAAAAAGAACAAAAGAACCAAGAGATTCCTGGAATCAGTAGTAATGCAAATTCTATTTCTGCTGTAGCTGATACATGCCACGGCTTATGGGTCAAAGATCATCCTAAAAGAGCCAAATCTGAACACACCTGAGTATTCTGAATGATTATGTTCTAAGCAGAGGACAATTTACATAATGACATTCTAATTTCAAAGCAAATACAGGAAAATCATCCCTTTAAAGCAAAAAACTTAAAAGCCAAATACAAGATTTTTTACTTTATATACAATAGCTTGCCACTAATTTTCATTGCCAATAATAACCCTGAAACTTAAATAAATAATCTGTAAAGAAATAAATAGTGTCTTTGTAAACTTGTGTATGTAGACCAAGTAAATTTTACAAAAGAAAACATTAAATTTGAGGAAAGGAGAGTAATTAGTCCCATAACTTAAATCACCACTTTTCATTTTAAAATCCAAACTGTGCATCAAATGTTTATACTCACCTTTTTGCCCCTCAATAAATAACCTATTTGTGAAAGGTTTTGCTAATGGTGGAGTGTCTCCAAACAGGGATTTAATAGAGAATAGTGTCAGAACACACTGCTGTACATTAAGTTATTTAAAAAAACTTATGAAATAATGGTGAGTTATAAAAAGCCACAGAAACTCAAGCCATATTCTCATAAAACCATTTGGGAAGAAGTGAAATAATAATGTGGCAATCTGCAACTGCATTCAGCTTTACAGAGGGGATAATAAATGACAGTGTGTGCTTTCTAAAAGAAATCTCCTGAAATATAGTAAGTAGCTGAATTTTTTGTACCTTCCTCTGCTCTTGCACCTTCATGATCAGTCATTCTAGAAGAGGGTGACCTAGATTGATTAATGATTCCTGAAGGGATGTGGGGTATCTCATCATCGCCCAGATCAGCTATCATGTCGTGAAGTTTTGTCCTGTTGACTCCTGTAAATTAATGTCAGCAGCAAAAATTCATTTGATTGCTACCGCTTGACTTGACTGAAGTCTAAAAATCCATTAAATAAGAAAAATTACTGATGGGACCTCCTTAAAATAAATAGTGCTTTGCTTTTGTTTAGCAATATTTTGGAAATCAAAAGTAGGAGTTAATACACCAAATCTGAAAACTACATGCAAACAATTTAAATTCACTAAATCAAAGAATAACTCCTTTGTGTTCTGTAGATCTATTCTACAATTTCCTGTAGGAAAGAGAAAAAAAATCATCTTATAGCCCTACTGGAAAGTTAAGTCAAATACTAAAAGAACATTCACAGTTAAACAAAAAATGTATGAATTAAACACTTTCTAATAATATTACACAACTTTAACTATACTAAACAATTTAACATTAAAAAACAGAGTGCGAATTAAAAGTAAGCTTAAAAATGAGAGCAAAAGTACAGACAACTCATAATGGGGGTGCAACGAACAATTAACTTTCCCTGCTTTGAATGGTATTTAAATTGAATGAAGTGTTTGTTAAACATAGCAGCAAGAATGCTTCCACCACTGTATGAAACCGCAAATGTACATTATATTAATTATAAAAGCAAACTTCTAGAAACAAAGCATTCTGAATTATATGTACATTGAATTAATATGCAGACATTAGCAAACAAAAAAAGTATAATTTAAAATATCTTAAATTACTAAATCCACTCCTGGATATAGCTTCCACAACAAAAAGTCAAGCTTCAATTATAAAGTGTATTTCAGTGAGAGAACCTCTTTAAAGAAAACAATCCATAATCACAAAAAACATAACCAAATTTCAGCCAATAAAACAGCCTTTCCTGGGACTGCAAGCAGAGATATTGTAGACCAATTAGTAAAGGAAGCATTCGTAAACAAGTTCTTATATTGAGGTGACACGTCTCACATTTATTAAAGAGGAATTTGAAACTAAACCAAAGCCTTTACTGACAAAAAAGTAAAATACAAATACTATGATTACAGATGACTTATCAAAAACTCAGAACCGTTATACAAACAGTTAAACATCAAAATACACTCTTTCAAAAAGTATCTGATCATTTCAGATCTTACTGGTTTAAATCAATGTGTTCAAAAATAACTGTCCATGAGTAACAGAATTCTCTAAAGATAATGGAGAACTCCCTGCAGAGAGGGATGACAACAAAAAGAATTTCTTGAAGAAGAATTACAGGAAGTATACTTCACATACCCCTAAAAGGATGCTATATAACTATTCTCATTAACATTTGCAAAACATTCTCATTTTGCCAAGTAATAAAACTCCCTACATTTATGGTTTTTCTGCTTTTGGTATTTTTTTCCTTTCTTCACAGAACACTTAGTATTCTAGTTAAATATACAAAGACTGCTACCCAGAAGCAATCTGAGAATAAAACTGGCTTACAAAACCTTTCCTCTAAAACAGATTACTTGAGCGGTTGTTTCACTCTCCTGTATAAGAATGTCTAGAAACCTGTGATCCCAGCTGATGAAGTGAATGTAAAATAATAATGAGAAATCTTTTTTGAACCAACAGTCTTTTTTTCTAACAGGCACTATACTGAAAGGATTTCATTTCTGAAGTATAGTACCTAATATTGCAGCCAGAAGGTGAGATCTCACATAAGAAAAGTCACTCTTAGAATAGACAGATCTCTACACCACACAGACTACAAAGCTTGTCTTCATCTTTCTTACAGTTGGCCATCAGCCAGGCATCTATGATGACCAGGAGCAGATATATTCTTGAAGGTATATAGAGCAATCAATAAAATGACAGAAAAAAGTCATGACTGGGACCCTAAACTGTTTACTTTAATGAGCCCTTTGCTTTCCACAGGAAAACACCATTTGTGTTCTCCATGTCGATATGCATGAATCGTTCAACACATTGACGCAAAATGCCTGAAATGGCTTATAAATGCTTACTCTATCTGAACTGAAAGCATCTTCTCAAGGTGCTTTCATGCCAAACATATGGGCATGAGAAGTTGGACCCAAAGCATACTCAGAAGAAACTAAAAATAGTCCCTCTGCTCTGCTATCTTTAAGCAGCCATTCATTTAGTTTGTCAGTAACTGGGGGACTGATATCCTTGCCTTTTAGTGTTTTTCAGTACATTTGGGCACTTCCTGTCCTTCAGGCATAACCTCAGAACAGTCCTCAATCATCATACAATACAGAGAGAAGTTTACAAAGGAGAAGCTGCTGTTCCGAACAACTTCTGTGCATTTCATGCTGAGTGTCAATATTCAAGACTGTGCCACCCCTACAGAAGACTGCACAAGTTTCTGCTTTCGATTAAGTGCAAGTGTGTAGTTATGATATTTTATTAAAAATCCTTTCCTAGGATTTTTCCCCTCCTGAGGAGCTGAGGGCCTCAGGAAAGAAATGTAAACAATAACTATCTGCTGCTGTGGAATGCAACAGGTGCATCTTCCATTGGTCCGTGTGGATTGTTTTCAATTGATGACCAATCACAGCCACCTGTTCCGAGGCCGTGAGCAGTCACAAGATTTTTGTTATGCATTGTATTCTGTTCTTGTTCTTTGTAACCTTCTGATCTTTTTTTTTCTTTCTGTTCTTTTAATGTAGTATTTTAGTATAACATATAACATAATAAATCAGTCTTCTGAGAAAAATGGAGTTAAGCCTTGTGTCTCCAAACACAGAGAGTTCACCTCGACACAAGTGTACCTGTTCAAGTACAGTAAATGTTACAAGGAGATTTTTGTAGAAAAGAATGTGCCATCTCTGCATAACCAACTATGTTCAAAGCACAAAACAGGATGACTCTTACCCACAAAAGCCAGGGACAAAAAAAACCCCTGACCTGGTATGAACAGAAGCAAAAGTTACTCTACCATCTCAGTGTACTGTCCTTCAGAGATCAAAAGTGAAAAAGATAACTGAATATTCAGTGATGAAAAGTTTTAGCCTGAGAAGCCTTAAGCGGAGTTTTATTAGGTCGAAGATGTATTAGTCCATGTCTGAATGTAACACAGAGATTCCTGTATGTCAAGAAGAGGCGATGGTAATGAAGATGGTGAAATTCAGATCTCTTTTCAGTCCTATCAATTATTATACTATTTCCAGAAATCAAGGGTAGGAAAGTGAACAGTACAGATACTGTTTTGTAAGCACAGAACAATTAAAAAGAGCAGGAAAGTAAAAAAAAACAAACAAATGCAAAAAGCTAAAGAAAAACAGTAAATGTATCTTGATTTCAACAGTGATACATACATATATATAAACAAGATGTGAAAACTTTCAACTGCTTCAATTCTCATTTCAAATGAGAATACATTATACTGACCTGATAGAATGAAATATCTAACAGGTCCACTATCACACCTGCAAAGGTGACAGGCTATATCTGAAAAACAGTCATCTCCTGCTTACCTGCCAAAATTGATCTTACCAAATTTGTGCAAGAAAGAACCCTTAAATTCAGCATATTACTGAAAAGAGAAGCCTGCTTTTGTAGAAATCAAACGCAACTCCTTATCTATGTATCACAGTAAGTCCTGAATATGTGTGGCTTGTTTCTCTGCTTCTGGGGTTTTTTAACACAAGAACTTTCAATAAACAGATTTTGCATTGTTTTACAGCTTATATTGTAAAGGAAATTAAAGTTGTGAGGTGGTGGATTTTTTTTTATTGTTTTGGTGGGGTATTTTTCAAGATCCTTTCATAAAGAGGTAGTAGTTCCACATAACATGGTGACTACTTGGACAGACACCCTCTTTCTTCCCAGCAAACAAGATTACTCAATGAAAACATATGTGCTGACAGAAGATGATCTTAATTAAGATGTGCCACCCAAAAGGATGAGGATACAGACTGGAGAAGTATCAAAATATAGAATCAGATCTACTTCTGTTCACTTATTCATGTACATGTGGAATGAAAATTTCCATACCTGAAACCAGGGCTGTGTCTGCCCAGTTATGCAACAGATTCTGGTAGTTACAGATGCATATTAAACAGAAGAACCCATTAGAACGTCTGTCTTATGCTGTCTAAAGTATTGCAAAAGATGACATTTAATGCACATTTCTTTGACATTTATGATGATATGTATTACCATGCAGATAAGCTCTGATGGTACCCAAATTCAAGCCAAAACAATGAAGAGCAAAGGAAGAGATATATATTCAGGATGAAGTCCCCAAATGATCAGATATGAGCAGCAGGAATAAAAAGCCCTTAAACATTATTTTCAGTTTCAGAATGTTAAAAAACTGAGGAAAAGCCTATAAAATCATATTTAAATAAATCTGCCCAACCCTGAATACATACTTTTATTCTGTGCATGGAGTTCTCTCATCCAATTAGCTCAGTGATGTAGCGGCTAATTTTCAATCAGAAACAATCATGAATGTGACAAGCCAAGAATCTCACACACTACCTTTTAAGACTATATGTGTTCAGGGTTTCTCAAAGGAGAATTCAAATGTAAAACGCTGAACAACGTCTTATGTCACTTCTCAGCACCGTCACACACAGCTGTCTCCTAAATACTGTCTTCTGTGAACCAAAGATTTCAAAAGTCCTTTAGATGAAGAAAACTTTGTTACTTTGCAACTACTGTGGTTCAAAATGTATAAAATGTAAAGAATTTAGTAAGAAAGTTTCAAATAAAAAAGTTCATTTTGGTATTAAAAATAAATTTCTAATCCTACCAAATATTTCATGCAAATTTGATGTCAACTGCTGATTTACATATTAAATGCTGATATACATTTCATGCAGATGACTACTGTAGGCTCCCATTAAAGCAAAGACTAAAAATCTTTGCTTTGTCAAAGCTTTTATGTTAATGTTGGTGTACAAGTCATGCAAAAATGCTGAAAGAACAACCAACATGCACTAACTGACCAGTAACTGTTTGGTGTTACAAAGTAAATTAAAACCTTAATAATTACAGAAGTTGTCAGTAAGTGTTGTATTTTAATTATCGTGTA